TTATATTATGTAGTATATAATTTGATATTTTATTGCTCACTTTACATTGTTTTCTGTCCTCTCACTCTACCTAGCTCACTACTGTTCCAAAATACATCTAATTCTAGTTTTTGACTTTCAGTTTATATTCTAGAAATGAGAAAAACCATGTATTATTAGTCATTCTACATCTGACTTGTTGCAAATAGCATGTTAAGGTACACTTCCACCCATGTTCCTATAAACAGGACCACATTCTTCTGTCATTTCCCGACTTGTACACTGTTGGATACATAGGCTGATAGAATATCTTTGCTACTTTGAATAATTCTTCACTAAATACAGGCATTCTGGTTTATCTACTGTATCATGATTAATGGCATTATTGTCATAGTTAGCCTTAATTGTAAATTTGACACATCCTACAATCATCTGGGAGAAGTCTCAGTTGAATTTCCTATATCTGGTTGGCCTGTGGGCATTTCTGTGGGGGACTGTCTTGATTGTTAACTGGTGTAGGAGGACTCAGCTCATTGTGAGCACCATTCCTTGGGCAGGTGGTTTTGGGATGAATAAGAAAGCCAGGTACGGGGCCAGAGAGATGTATTAAAAGCACTGGTTGCTTTTGTAGAGGACCTGAGTTCGATTCCTAGCATCCATATAAAGGCTAACAACCATCTGTAACTCCAGTTCCAGGGGATCCAGCACCTTCTCCTGACCTCTGTGGGCACTGTATAGCATGGGTGCACCTACCTTCATGCAGGCAATACACACATACAAATATAATAAAAATAATAAGTTATAGCCGGGTGTAGTGGTGCACACCTTTAATCCCAGCACTCAGGAAGCAGAGGCAGGTAGATCTCTGTGAGTTCAAGGCCAGCCTGGTCTACACAGTGAGGTCCAGGACAGCTGGGACTACAGGGAGACCCTGTCTCAAAAAAACAAAAAACAAACAAAAAAAAAAAAGGAAAAAAAAAAAAAAAAAAAAGAAAGCCAGTTAAGGATGAGCTTTTGTGTGAGACAGAAAGCAGCATTCCTCCATGGTTTCTAATTCAGTTCCTACCTTGACTTCCCTCAACAATGGATTGTATAACCAGTAGGGTAAAATAAACCCTTCCTCCCCTGGGTTTTTTCTGGTTATGGAATTCATCACAGTAACAGAAATCAAAGTAGAATAATCATGCAGATACAAAAGGTAAGACAGCAGCTGCATGGTAGCTCTCATTTCTGAAAATATTCCATAGTGATTTCCATACTCGCTGGGCAACTCTACATTATCACTAACAGTATGTAAAGGTTTCTTTTCCTATGTACTGTGAAGAACAAGTTGTGTGTTTTCCTGAAGAAAGTCATTCTCCCTTGTATGATATAGGATGTGAATGTAATTTACATTGCAATTCCCTAATGGATCAATACATCAAATAAGTTTTCATACTTTTTTTTTTTTTTGGTCTTCTTTGAGACAGGGTATCCCTGTAGCCTCAGCTGTCCTGGAACTCACTATCTAGACCAGGCTGGCCTTGAACTCAGAGATCCACCTGCCTCTGCCTCCCGAGTGCTGAAGTTTTCATATTTCATTTGTACTTTCCATTTCTCTATTTATTGACTGATTATTTGTTTTTTTGCTGTTTAACTGTTTTGTGTTCTTTACGTATTCTGAATTTTTCTTAATATTTATTTTAGATGTATGCATGTACTCTAAGTGCATCAGGTACATGCAATGCCCACAGAGACCAGAAGAGGGCACTGGCTCCCCTGGAGCTAGATCTATAGATGGTTGTGAGCTGCCATGTGGTTGCTGGGAACCAAACCCACATCCTCTACAAGAGCAGCAAGTGTTCTTAACCATTGGGATATCTCTCCAGTCCCCTATATTCTGAATATTAATCTCAGGTTGGATGATACCTGGCAAAGATTTAATCCTAACCTGTAGAGGTCTCTTCGAGTACTATTTCACTGGTTGGCCAACATTTTAGGTTTGGATCCAATCAGATTTTTTTTAATCCTTGGTCATTTTTGAGACATGATATCATGCTGTTCAACCTGGGCACAAACTCACTTTGTAGGTAAGTATGACATTGAACATCTCATCCTGCTCAGGATTATAGGCATTTGCCATCACACCCAACCAGATCAGCCAATTCTAGCAGTTATTTACAGAGCTACATATATTCTATTTAATAAGTCCAAGCCCATGACTTTATCTTCACCTGTTTTCTCCTGGTATTCTTGCAGTAGTTTTAATATTTCAGTTCTAATGTTAAAGTATTTGATCAATGTGCTCTTTTACAGGGTAAAAGGCAGGGATTTAGTTCCAGTTTTCCATATGTGGATATCCATTTTTCTTAGGATCGGTTTTTTCTCTCTCTCTCTCTTTTTTTTTCTTTTGGTCTTTTTTGAGACGGGGTCTCCCTGTAGCTCCAGCTGACCTGAAACTCACTATGTAGTCCAGGCTGGCCTAGAACTCACAGAGATCTGCCTGTCTCTGCCTCCCAAGTGCTGGGATTAAATGTGTGCACCACCATGCCTGGCAGAATCATGTTTTCAAATATTTATTTTTATTTTAAATCTATGTGTAAGTGCCTGCATGTATATATGTACACTATATGTGTGCCTAGTATCTGTGGAGGCCAGAAGAGGGCATCAGAACCTATGGAACTGAGGTTGTTAAGCTGTGACTGAACCTGGATCCTCTTCAAGAGCAGCAAGAGCTCTCAACTGCTGACACATCTCTCTAGTCTCTCTATAGGACCATCTTCTAAAGAGTCTTTTTCAACATAAAATTTTTAAATTATTTTTATTTTATATGTATGCATGTATTGCCTGCATGTATGCAAGTGCACTCGTGTCATGCAATGACCATGGAGGTGAGAAAAGGATGTTGGATTCCCCTGGAACTGAAATTACAACTAAATGTTGAGGCACCATGTGGATGCTGAAAATCAAACCTGGGTCCTCTCCAAGAGCACACAGTGCTCTTAACTGCTGAGCCATCTCTCCAGCTTCTCACCATAAATTCTTGATAATTTTCTTGCAAATAAGATGTCTTTGGATTTGTGAATGTGCCTCTGTGTTATCCTCCCTTTGACTGCACAGGCTTATGTAACTGGGGGCCAATATCTTGCTGTCTCTGTCGATGTACTATAGGATAATTTGAAACCAGGTGTCATGGTACTTTATCATTATTCCTTTGCACACAAGACAACAAGACTCTTCTGGACATTTGGTATTTGGGGTTTTTGTGGGGTTTTTTGTTTTGTTTTTTTGACTTTTTGAGACAGGATCTCCCTGTAGCCCCAGCTGACCTGGAACTCACTATGTAGACCAGGCTGGCCTTGAACTCACAGAGATCCACCTACCTCTGGCTCCCTAGTGCTGGGATTAAAGGTATGCCCCACCATGCCCAGCTCATGTTTTCATTTTCCAAACAGATGGAGGATCACAGATATTTATTATTATTACGTGTCTGGCAGACTTAACTAATGAATCCATTTAGGAACATCCTCCCCTCCTTGTGTATGTGTGGGGTCTTCATTACTGTCTCAATTCCATTGATCCATACTGTGTTTAGGATGTTCATATGCTCTTGGTGCAATTTTGGCAATCAAATATGTGCTTACAAATGTATCTATTTCTTTCTTTCTTTCTTTTTTTTTTAAATCTTTTTGAGATAAGGTCTTCCTTTAGCCCCAGCTGACCTGGAATTTGCTATGTAGACCAGGCTGGCCTTGAAATCACAGAGATCCGCCTTCCTCTGCCTCCCAAGTGCTAGGACTAAAGACGTGAGCCACCACACAGGCACAAATGTGTGTTTCTATTCAATTTAGCACTTTATTGAAATGTAAAGTTTCAAAAATCTCTCCACAGATCCTCTATTATTCAGTATTTTCTGTTGTAATATCCCATTTCCTCCTTTAGTTTAATTAATCTGGATTTTCTTTTTATCTCTGTCTCTCTCACTACTTTCCCTAAGGGTTAATAACCTCATATTTTCAATAAAGCAAGTTTGTAAAATTGATGCACTGATTTATTATTTTCCATTTCACTGATCTGTATGTTTCCTGCCTACTTTTGTTTTGGGCTGTTTTGGGGAGGCGGGGGAGGGGAGGACTGTTCCTGTTTTATACAACAGTTAGAATTGTTAGGTTATTTATTTCTGAGGAGGTTTTGTTTATGTACAAAATAAGCACCTTTATGACATTTTCACACGTTCACACACTGGATATCAGTGTGTTTTTTTTTTTTAATGCAAGCATTCATACTTATTTGGGAAAGTTTACAATTATTTCCCAGTTATTCCAGTAAGTTGTCTTTCCATTTTTACTTGGTTAAGACTTTACTCACCCCCACTTCTCTTGTTTTTTGTTTTTGTTTTTCCTTTTTTAGATATATCAAGTTATTTTTTTAATTGAATATTTATGATTTTCATACCCCTGCTTTTCTTTTATTAAATATTTATTATTTTATTTTATGTGCAGGAGGGTTATGCCTGCATGTATTACCTGTGGGGATGTCTATGAAGCATTTTCCCGATTGTGAAGGTATGTGGAAGGGCACAGGCCATTGGGGTGGTACTACCACTGGGCACATAGTCCTAGGTTAAATATAAAAGTAGGCACAGGACAAGGGAGCATGCTAGTAAGCAATATTCCTCCATGTATCTGCTTTAGTTCCTGCCTCCTCCATGTTCCTGCCCTGGCTTCCTTCAAAAAATGGGCTGTGATTAGGATATGTAAGTCAAATAAACCCTTTCTTCCCCAAGTTGGTTTTGATCAATGTTTTATCTCTGCAATAGCAAGCTAACTAGGACAGGTCCATAGGTATCTGACAAGAATGTGTACTCTATCATGTAAACTGTTTAGTCCTTTTGATCCATATACTGTTTAAATCTTATGTTTCTTTGTTAGTTTTTTCTATCTGAATAACTGACCTATGTAAGAACAGGGACTCTGCATCTAGTCAGCTCTAGCTTACTTTGGCCTGCAGTGTACTTTTATCAATATGAGAATAACTGCTGATTTCTTTCACATTCTGTTTGTTTTAAATATTTTCCATCTTTTATGCCTATGTCTATTTTCTTTTTGTCTTTTTGAGACAGGGTCTCCCTATAGCCTCAGCTGGCCTGGAACTCACTACGTAGCCCAAGCTGGCTTGGAACTCAGAGATCTGCCTGTTTCTGCCTCCCAAGTGCTAGGATTAAAGACGTGTGCCACCACACCTTTACACATCCAGTTTGCTAGTGTACATCTTTTAAGTGGAAAGGTAAGATGTAGTATTAATTTGCAGTTTTTATTGAAGAATATGTATTAAATCCTTTTATCTTAGAGGTTTATTGGTATAGACTGAGTTAATGTTTATTTTACTAGTGAGATTCATTTTTTTCACAGCCTTCTTATATTCGTCTTTCTTCTTGTATATCTTCTGCAACAGTGTCTTAGTGGTTATGCAGTAATTTAATTTGTTTGTCACAGATGGTCATTAGTTTCTCCCAATTTTTAATTTATTTTTATTTTATGTATGAGTGTTTTGTCTGCATGTATTTAAGTGCATCCATATCATGCAATGCCTGCAGAGTTCAGAATAGGGCATCAGATCCCCTGGAACTAGAGTTATGGACAGTTGGCAGCACCTGGATCCTCTTCAAGGGCAGCCAGCGCTCCCAACTGCTGCATCATCTCCCCAGTCCCAATTCTTCCAAATTTTAAAGGATAACTGTGAGATAAAGGAATATTGCTTCAGAGTTTTGTCAAAATGTGCTGTTGTTGCAGAAGACCCATGTTCAGTCCCCAGCACCCACACAGTGGCTAATAACTGTCTATAACTCCAGTTCCAGGGGATCCAATGCCCCTTCTGGCCTCCATGGGCATTCATGGACATTGTTCACTTATACACACCCAGGCAAAACACTTATACACATTAAGAAAAATACAAAAAATAAAATTTGGGGGTCTGGAGAAATGGCTCAGAGGTAAAGAAGAGTAGGTGCTCCTACAGATGTTCCCACCACCCATATGGCAGCTCAAATCATCTGTAACTCCAGTTCTGGAGGATTCCCAGGCCTCTTGGTTTCCACAGGCACTGTGTGCATGTGGTACATTTAAATACATGCAGACAAAACACTGAAACATATAAAATAAAAATCAAAAATTAAGTCAGGCATTGTGGCGCATGCCTTTAATCCTAGCACTTGGGAGACAGAGGCAGGCAAATCTCTGTAAGTTCGAGGCCTGTCTGGTCTACATAGTGAGTTCCAGGCCAGCTGGGGCTACAGGGAGACCCTGTCTCAAAAAGATACATGAATAAATAAATAAATAAATAAATAAATAAATAAATAAATAATAAAACTTTGGTTGAATTTTTGACAAATACAAGAAACTCCACTTCAGTAACAAAAAAAAAAAGAGGGGTTGACATGAAGAATCTTCTTTGGAAACTGTATAAAACAAGTGTCTGATCCATGAGAAGAGCTGTTTTCAAGACAGGACTTGGATGAAAATTGGTGTCCTACTTACTTTCTATTTCTGTGATATTGTGATATTGTGACCAAAACCAACTCGGAAAGGAAAGGTTTATTTCACCTTTAGCTGCTTAATGACTTGCTCCTCTGGCCTGGGCCTAGCCAGCTTTTTTATACAACTTTGGACTACTTGCCTCGGGGGCACACAGGGTCCTTCCTTTGGGGGAGGACCACCTCCTAAGTCCTCCTCCCACATTACTCAACAGTCAAGAAAATGCCCCACAGACATGGCCACAGGTCAATCCAATGGAGGAAATTCCTCAACTGAGGTTCACTTCACAGTATTCCTGGTAAGAATAGCTCAACATGGCTGTATCTGATGTGTGCTCGGCTTGCTGACCTCCCCTGTCTAATAACACATTCACTGACCTGGAAAGCTCTGGACTGAGGTGTCTGCTAGGCTCCATGGCTCAAGCCCATGCTCCAACTTGAAGATCAACTTAGGTTTGGTCATGCAGTGCCCTATAAATTGGAAACAATATACCGATACTGACAAAATGCTATGACAAGTTGATTGATGAAAAACAGATCAAATGATGAAAAACAATAGCTCCATTTTTGGAACTGTTCTTTGATGAGTGAATAAGAAACTTTGGTTAGAGAAGATTTAAATGTTCATTCTTCAGTTGCTAGAAAATTACCATCATATGGCATTAAACTACATGATAAATAACCAAAATAATGAGTTTTTATGGTTTTTTTTTTTTTTTTTTTTTTGGACAGTGATCTGCCTGCCTCTGCCTCCCAGGTACTTGGGACTACAGGCGTGCGCCACCACACCCGGCTTACCTGATTGATTTTTAAAGAAAGTTTAACAGGCTGGAAAAATGGCTCAGTGGCTAAGACTGAATACTGTTCTTGCAGAAGACCCAAGTTCAGTTCCCAGCACCCATATTGGGCATCCCACAACTGCCTATAACTCTCTGTCAGCAAAGTTCAGCTAAAAAGTTTTGTGGTTAGAATGCTGATACTTCCTCAATTCTGTTTGCCTCAGATAGAGACTTCTGGAATGTCTTTCAGACGGGATATTTTTAGCATATTTTTCTTTTCTAAATTTATAACAATTTGCCTGGTTTTAAGACTTCACTAATAGCCAATCAATATGTAAGTTTTCTTCTCACTGTAACCCAGTGCCTAAGGGATAAAAGATAGGTGCTGCTTCCCTTTGGGTCCAGATTTTAGGGTTGAGTCTGCTGGAGCAGGATGCAATCTAAATAAAATACCTGCTTTCTATATATTTCTGGTGTCCTGCCTAATCTTTCCTACAATACAATAAAATAAAATTACTTGAGCCTGGGCATGCCCAGCACTCAGGAGGCAAGATAGGTGGATGTCTGTGAGATCAAGGCCAGTCTGGTCTACATAGGGTGTTCCAGGCCAGCTGGAAACAAAAACAAAAACAACTCATTCTTAAAAAAAAAAGACAGGAGCTGAGTATGATGGCTCATGCCTTTCTTTACTCCCAGCGCTCAGGAGGCAGAGGCAGACGAATCTCTGTGAGTTCAAGGCCAGCCTAGTCTACATAGCGGGTTCCAGGCCAGCTGGGGCTACAGGGAAACCCTGCCTCAAAAAGACCAAAAAACCAAAATAAAATAAAGACAGGTATTATCAAGGGTGAAATGAAGAAAGTGGGGGTGCTTTAACTGGAGACGGAGAAGAACGGGTTAGACAGGGAGAGAGGAGAGATAAATAATGCCTTAACTGGTGTAAAAAACCAGGAGGAAACATTAGTTCAAAAACCTACTGAGAAATTACACATACAATATCTCTACATGAGTCCATGTGTAGAGCTGAGGGCTACATAACAAGAAACAGTGCCAGACAGGAGAAACCTCCCTTTGAGTTGTTGGCCAGGGTAGTCCAAGAGACTCCCAAAATTACACAGGCTATTGCCACAGCCTTTCACTGACTCCTAGAACTTGAAGGTAAGACCCTATTGCTGAAGACAGGTCATATACAGCAAGATCTGGAAGCCACTTCCTGGAAGGTTAGCTCTCATAGATTAGAGAACACTAAGCAACCTGCTAAGGGAGAACATCAATCAATGGTCCAACCCCAGCTTCAAGGCCCAATAACCACATCTATGTGGTTATTGCATAGCAAACTATAGTGGGGTAGCAGTGGCATTTTTATCTTGGGGGTAATCAACAAATACCTAATTGGATTTAAAGCCTGCTCAATGGGAGGGAACTCATGTGTGGTACTGTAAACATAGCCAAATACACATGGTTGGAGAGATCATAGATCTTAGAGAAAACCCCAAGGTTGTCACATCCCTAGACAAATGTAATTTCTTATTATATGCTAAATATGGACCCTTATATTTACAAACAAGTATGCTAGTCACCACTCATGATTTTAAGAAAGTTTAACAGGCTGGCAAAATGATTCAGTGGTTAAAACTGAATACTGTTCTTGCAAAAGACCCAAGTTCAGACAAGTATGCCAGTCTTTTGCAACAGACGAAGATTATTACAGAGTTCCACAACTGGGTCACACACAGAGATTAAGTGTCTGTGAAATGCTCAACCCTAAATGACACATCTGCAATGGAACCTCTATACCCAAGACTCATGGAACATATGGAACATAAGGGTAGAGAGAATACTAATACGTCTCTCAACTGTCATCAATGAAGCTCACTCATGGAACAGAGGGCAATGAACCCAGGGCTCAGGGACCACTGTGGAAGAGGGTGTGGAAAGACTGTAAGAACCAGGGGAGAAGGTGCATGATCATATGGAAACAAAGTCTTACAGGCTCCTGGGACCTTGCTCATATGAGCTTACAACAATGTTAACAGCATGTATGAGACCCATGCAAATTCAAGCAGACAAAAACCCAGCATAGAACTAGAAATGGGCAGCAGACCACAATTTTGGCTGAAGAAATATTGGGCTGCTGATTACTGGTGGGTGAAGGGCTGATCTTCTTTAAGGGAGTAACTCTAAATAGGCTGAATAGACCCCAGTGGATGAACTTATACTGAAGGATGTCATGGGACAATAAATTGACTCTGTCCTTAACATAAATGACAGAATGCATGAAATCCAGTGGGGGAGAGGGGGCTATTAGGGGCTGCTGATGGGGAAATTGGTATAAAGATGTTGTGTATGAAATATACAAAACACACACACATAAAATTTAATAAACTCAGCTGGGCATGGTGGCACGTGCCTGTAGTACCAGCACACGGGAGGCAGAGGCACGCAGATCTCTGTGAGTTCAAGGCCAGCCTGGTCTACATAGTGAGTTCCAGGACAGCTCAGGCTACAGGGAGACCCTGTCTCAAAAAGACCCCCCCAAAAAATTAAATAAACTCAATAAACAAACAAGTTTACATAGGGCCAGTGGGATAGCTCAGTGGGTAGAGGTGCTTGCTGTCAAGTATGAAGACCTGAGTTTGCTCTCTGGAACCTACATGATGAAAGGAGAGAACTGGCTTGAAAGTTGTCCTCTGATCTTTGCATGCATCCCCCACCCCACAAAACAAATAAACAAATGTAAAAAACAAAAAAAGAAAAAAAGCTTAAGTAAACAGGGCGAGTAACAAGAGTAATAATAAGAGAGAAACCACAATGAAATTAAAAGGATAATTCATGATATTTAGGATATACTTAACAATGAGAGATGGCTCACAACTGCCTGTAACTCCAGCTCAGGGGGTGAGGGGATGGGGGGGTATATCAATCAATTCTGCCTTCTGACCTCTGTGGGCACATACACATCATAAACATAATTTAAAAATAAAAATAAGCCAGGAGTGGTGGCACATGCCTTTGATCCCAGCACTTGGGAGGCAGAGGCAGGTGGATCTCTGTGAGTTCGAGGCTAGTCTGGTCTACATAGTGAGACCCTGTCTCAAAAAGACCAAAAAAAAAAAAAACCAAGAAGAAGAACTACAAAATAAAATTTGATCTCACATTCCTGAAACTCTTAAAAAAAAAAATCACCCAGAAATTTAACAGGAGATAGTCTCAATTCATGAAATTTAAAAAAATAATAATAAAACACAAAAGACTCCATAACTGAATGATAAGGGAGATAGAAAAAATATTCTGAGCACAAAGACATTATTTAAAAATAATTCTGACAGGGCTAGAGAAATGGCTCAGTGGTTATGAGCACTGACTGTCCTTGCAGGGGATCTGGGTTTGGTTCCCAGCACCTATATGGCAACTAGCAACTGACCACTGCACACATGTGGTACACTTACATATATGCAGGCAAAACACATACAGAATAAAAATAAATTAAAAGATTTTTTTTTTTTTAAACTCAGGCAGGTTAAAAAATCTTAAAATATGAAGGATGGACTTTTTAACAGAGGTATCACCATCAAAAAAAACAAAGTTTAGCTGGGTGTGGTGGCGCATGCCTGTAGTCCCAGCACTTGGGAGGCAGAGGCAGGAGGATCTCTCTGAGTTCGAGGCCAGCCTGGTCTACATAGTTAGTTCCAGGACAGCTGGGGCTACAGGGAAACCCTGTCTCAAAAAAAAAAAGACAAAAAAATACAAAACAAAACAAAGTTTGCATTATGTGTATGCAAGAATACAAGAGAAGGGGCTAGAGAGGGGGCTCAGTGGTAAGGAAGCTTCCTGTTCTTCCAGAGGACCAGAGTTCAGTTCCCAACATTCCAGCCCACAAATGCCAGCTCCAGAGGATCTGACTCCCTCATCTACCTTTCCATGGGCACCTGCACTCAAGTGCACATACCTACATACAGATACACATACATATACAAAACTAAAAATAAATCTTAAAAAAAAAAAGCAAGCCTAATATTATTTATAAAAGAACACCTGTTGGGCATGGTGGCACACACCTTTAATCCCAGCACTCAGGAGGCAGAGGCAGGAGGATCTCTGTGAGTTCAAGGCTAGCCTGGTCTACATAGTGATTTCCAGGCCAGCTGGGGCTACAGGGAGACCCTGTCTTTATAAAAAAGACCAAAAAAGCAACAACAAAAAAGAAATGCACTCCAAAGAGCAGATGCTAAAGTCCTGGTCACTAGTCTATGGTGCTGTCAGCAGAGAGAAAACGGAAGGAACAGAGATCACGGAGACATGCCCAAGAGCAGATGTCGACCTTCTGGCTTTTTACTTCCTTACTGAAATGAGGTGAGCAGACTGGCTTTACATGTGCTCTCTGTCTTGATGTTCTTATTTATCATAGAATTAAAGGCATAAGGAAACAATGGCATAACCCTATGAAAATCATGAGTCAACTTTAGTCCTTTTAAGAGCTATTTTGTCATAGTAATAGGAAGTTGACTAATACTTTCAGTCAACTGATTTCCAACAAAACCATCAAGAATTTACATTTATTTAGAGGGCTGGAAAGACGGCTCAGCAGTTAAGAGCATTGGGTGCTCTTGCAGCGGACCTGGATTCAGTTCCCAGAACCCACACAGCAGCTAACAACGGTCCCTGACTTGTTCCAGGGGATCCAATGACCTCTTCTGGCCTCCACAGGTATTGCACACATGGCTGTACTTACATGCATGCAGGCAAAACATCATACACATAAAATAAAATTTTTTTTAAATTGTTTTTAATTTGCATTTAGGAGGGTAACTCTTAAAGAATTGTGCTGGGAAAAAAATGGACAATCACATGCTTGGGAAAGGTACTAGATTCCTTCATCATATCATATTCAGAAATCAACTAAAAATGGATCAAAGATTTAAATGTAAGACCTGAAAATGTGACGAGCCTAGAGTAAATGGGAAACATTTTGGGACAATGATACAAAGACTATTTTTAAATTTACGTGTATGAGTGTTTGGCCTACATGTAAGTATGCCTGTGAATGAAATGCCCATGGAGGCCAGAAAAGGGAGTCAGATCCCCTGGAATTAAGGATGCTTGTTAGCCACCACGTGGGTGCTAGGAACCAAACCCTGGTCCTCTGCAAAAGTAACTAGTGCTCTTAACTGTTGAACCACCTCTCCAGCTGCCCAGAAATGCAAATAAAAAAAAAAAAATTTTAAGTGATTAGGATTGGTAGTTTTTACTGTCTCAAAGATATCTTTACCCTCCAAGTAAACCCATTTATGTATTTATTTACATATATATATGTATATATATATATATATTTTTTTTTTAATTCCTTATTTTTATAGCTGGGCATGGTGGTGCATACCTTTGGTTTTAGCACTCCAGAGGCAGAGGCAGGTGAAATTCTGTGGGTTCAAGGCCAGCCTGGGAGAGGGAGGAATGGATTTCTTTAAAAGAGTGAGTATC